AGGATATCTGGTGCACGCTTGTTTTCCGGATGATTTGTTGGCTCATGCTACACGATTTCCACAAGAAAGATGTCCAGGTATCGAAGAGCGAACTATTGGGCAGCCGGTTACCAGTATATATCTCATAGTTGAAGGATATGACGAGGAGAGGACGACGATCATTTCAAGCATTTATCAGGCATTTTGGAAAACAAGATTGCATCAATAATAGGATATGGATGGATCTGGACGAATTATGAGCATGAGAGCGAGCAGTGTAATGTCCCCAAAAAGCCCTACTCAGTGCTGGACATGAAACAACTTCGGTCTTCAGGGTGGCTTACGAATCATGGCAATGACAATCAAACGATTATTTCAAAAATTAAGAAATCTCTCATGTGAGAGGACGAAGTTCTAGGCCCATACGCTCTGGCAGAGGAGGATGGACTGGCTGTAGCCACGCTTATACCGGCCAGTGCTTCATTATCTTGTCATGCGATTGATCCCATGTTCAAGGTCTAGGACCAGAGTCTGGAGGGTTGGCCTGGAGTCTGGACAGAGCCAGCGGGCCAATGGGCTAGTGAATTCCTGGAGAGGCAACCCGAGGCCTGGGAACGAAGATGGAGCCAGACTGAGGGATGCGGAGCCCGTCACTGGCTCGTCACCGAGGCTCCCACCGACCTTTTTGCGATTCCGGAACTCTGTAGCACGGTACTCCATCATCGCCCAGCGGCCCAGAAGATGCCCAAGCTGCAAAGTGGTTGCATTCTTCACATTCCAAGGTCCTCTGAGCGTGCTCCTTAGACCGGGGGACGCGAGAGAGCGCTAGGCCGGATCGGGGCAGACGGCGGCAAACAGGAGGGAAAGGGCCTTGGTTCGGCGAGAGCGGAGAGGCCTACGAGAGGGAGCCTGTGTCCGTAAAGGAGCATGGTTCACTGAGGCTCCGAAGAGACGAGTATTGGCCTTGCTGCCGAATTGTGAAATGCTTCGGGGACCGTTTATTGTCCTTTGGCTCAAGATACTAGCCGAGAGATACGTGTGATGAGTGTGTGTAACGTGTGTGGGGGCCGAAGACTGATACGAATGCTGACAATATAGTTGAGCGCCGTGACGCTGAAGGGGCTCTTGATGTCACGTAGTGGAACCCATAGTCCGCCAAAACGACTTCATCGACATGTTCCATAATTAATTCCTTCACATTGAAAAGCAATGTTACCTGCGATGCTTCTGCCTCCCTGGGCGCACGCACGCATAAGGTGAGGTGTAGCATTCACTCTATGCGAGAAGGATGCGCGGGGAAGGGCATTTGACTTTATCGGTGCATATTCAAGACGGAAGCAGACGGATGAGGCCAGCAGTTTGATGCAGGCCGCAGCTCACCATGGTTGCTGGTCTCTTTAAACGCCAGTTGGTGTGATGTCGTCCAATGCCTCGCAGTGCAGAAGACGCATCTGTGCGGCGGCTCTCAGGGCTGGGGACGAGCCAACGAGCCTTGCGTACGGGTGTGGTGTTTGCTGGATAATTCGTCCATGGTTGGCAGACATGGCTCAGACAATGGCACTGTTGGTTCGTAAGTGGCTTGTTGCTGGCGTCTCTCCGTTCCCGAGGCGTGTGTGTTGGCGGCTTTGCAACGGAATGTCTTGGGCGGTGGTCCCTTGATTGAGAGGGAACAAAAAAAAAAAGACCGCCTGTAGGGTGGTGACTCTGGTGAGAGTGCTGCGCGCTGAAAGCACTTTTCGGGGTTGGGGGTCCAACAATTGCATTCTCGAAACAGAATCGTGGTGTGGGAGGGCGGTATGAGACGAGACACTGCTTCACGGGTGACGGATAACGCGTTCGCGGGGATCTGTATCCGAAAGTAGAGTCTGTGGCACCAGAGAGTGCGTGTGAATACTAATTAGGTAGACGCGACCGGCCTTTTCATGGCCCCCTTGGCGTGAGATCAGCGGATGATGGGCAGGCGAAGCAGTTTAGAACTTTGGGTACGGTAGGCGAAGGTGCAGCCCTGCGTCGTGGTGGCAGCATGCCCAAAAGCGACGCGAGAATTGGACAAGCCCAGTGTGAATGTCACTGGGGAACCTGGACCCGTGACCGCGACTGGCATCTGCGAAAATGTGACCGGGGGCCATGGAGTGCAGGGAAGAGAAGGGGAACCAGGGCCAGCCGCCAGCGGACCGAGGGGTTGGGTTTGACATGGTCTTGAGTGTTCGGCCGGCGACGGTCATAACAAGGGGAACAATCCATGGTGACTGACGACAGACGGCGGGAGAGGGTCTTGGACTTGTGTTTGTTGGAATGAAGATTGATCATTGTATGTCCGGAGGTCTCTTGCTGGCTGACCCCGTCGCAAAGGCGGCAAAAGGAATCGAAGGTCAAGACAGCGGAATTCCAGCCATTTTGCCGATGGCGTACAAACAAGGAACCTGAGGTGAGAGACCTGTCCGAGAATAGACAGAGACAAAGGCGGCAGCTGCACAGGTAAGCGCATCAACACCGGTAGACAAGCCATGGGCGCAGCAGCAGTCAAGAGTCAAGACCAACAAGAGCAACGAGGCTGCTAGCAATATCTGTCTACCTTACATCAATGCCTTTCAAAAAATTACCATCGATTCGTAGATGCGTACCCAAGGTAGGTAAGGTGAGATGGATGACAAACGTCTGTTGCGATGCCAAGTACCTTATACGCTTGAAACACCTAGTGGGATACCTCTATAACTATCAGGGGCAAGGGAGCCCCGCTGGATGGAATCAGAAGGGCTCCACCAATGATTGCGGCCACTCACTCAAGTCGTTACTCGAGAGGCACACCTTGAAAGGCTCAGAGGAAGGTGACCGAGGCAGCAAGGCACAAGGCAGCTACCTAAGATAAGGTACCTTAGGTCCGCTTGCCTCCGTTGCTGAGGTACACCGGCCGAGTGAATCTGGGAAGAGAGCACGGGCTCTAGAATCCCTCTTTTCATGACCTACTTTGACCTGACCTGGAGCGCACGTGTTGCTTCTCCACTTTGCCACGGGGCAGATACGGAGTACTCCGTAGGCGCGGACGTCTGCTGTGCAACACTCAATGATAGACGGAAGGAGTCCCGGGTTGGTAATTTAGACATTTGAGACTAATATAACCTCGAAGAAACAAGCAAAGTAGAGACAGTGAAGCAATGTCAAAGACAGAACATGCCCCTTTTTCACTGTTGGCTGATGATATTGGCTGGACAAGGTCAGGCAGGTATGAAACCCTGGGTTGCTCGCTGTAGCCGCTCCCGAACCAACAAACCGGCCAAGTGGCCCAGTGACGCTGGTCGTCCTGAGTGAGTGGAGGCCACTAAGGAAGGAGCCTGGCAAGCCTGGAAGCAAGGAGCGACCGAAGTAAGTACCTTTTTCGCCAACTGTCCACCTCGAGATACCTCTTAGGCTCTTGCTGAGGTAAGGTACCTTACCTTACTTTGATGCGGGCGGCGAGCGGGCCACAATGGAGACCAGCAACGGAAGAGAAGACTCTGTTTTTATTTTATTTTTCCTCGCTGTCATTCCGCCATCTCGTCTCATCTCATCTTGTCGCTTGAGCGTTGTCCGCCTGCCTGATCCACTTTCCATGCTCAAGAGTCGAGACTCGAGATCCGTACGGCGCCTGGGTACCTAGCCTGCCAGATAGTGAATCAATCGAGTCTGTTCTCGTTCAGTCGAGATTCCCAACATTGGACCCTTGTTTTATGGCTTCATTGCGTCGATACTCTGTCACCCACCCACCCAGCGTTACGCTCAAGTCTCAAAGGAGAGAGGAGGGGGTGCTTCGATAGCATCTATCTCGAATTACGACAAAGACGCAAACAAGCCTGGACCCAACCAAGCCCGATCCAAACGAGAAAGTAAGAAATGTGAGGACGCCTTCTTCTCTCTTGTTTTCCCGCGCCGCTTTCGCCATCTCATTGCTGGAAGCCAACTCCATTCCCCGCAGCTTGGAAACCTTCCATTCTCTACCTTACCAAGCTCCTTCCAGGTTAAGGTGCGTCTTTGGCACTCGACATTCTTCCCTGCCCGGCATTTTCTTTGGCGAACAATTAGAAGAGAAAAAACCTCCCCCTTCTTCATTTCTGCCTGTCACCATTTACCGCTCCCGAGGTAACTTTGCTGCGGGAGTGTCTTTCCTCGATACATTGCCTTAGTACCTAGCTTCTCTGACCTCCGGCCGCCGACTGTCGTCTCACCGCGTTATTGACCGACGCCTGCTTTTCGGGTTGCCTTGTGTCGATCGCCCCGTCTTTCCTTCCACTGCGGCATTGCTTCTGCGCTTCCATTCCGACCCGTTGCGGTGTGGGCCGTGGGCTTCTGCTGTGCCGTGCACCCACGAATTAGGTACTGCCTTGCTCAAGGCCTCCCAAGGTTAGGTAGGTACTTTGAGCAGTTACGGAGAGTGGTACCTTATTATCGGGTGCTTTGTATGCGAATCTACAAGTACCTCCCGTTCGGTACCTTTTTCCTTCCTCAGGGGTGCCAATCCACCTGGGGGCAGGCAGTGAAAACCTGGAACGAACCTCCCCGTGCTGTTTCTCCTTCGCCGTACTAAGGTACTTTACCTTCATTGCCCACCAAAACCGAGAAGGACCGCGCCGCATCACCAACGAGTCGCTCTTTCCGCCGTGGCCCGCTACCTTAGGTACCCTATCCGTACATACCTAAAGTTCCTAAGGCTCCTGCCCGCCCTCACACCCTCGCGGTTCACCCTCCCCTCCCGCCTTGGTTGTCCACGGTGCTGCCGCCAAAAAAACTCCACCTCCACATCCACAGTACCCGCACCCGTAAGCCGTGCCTGCAACCTGCGACCTGCGACTGTAATCCCGCCCGCCACCTTTGAAATCCCCAACCCTCACTCACACTCGATTCCGATCCCAAACCTTACATTTCCTCTCCTCTTCGACATCTCCCCTCTCTTTTCCGACACACTCACAACAACGTCCCCCCGCTCCTTATCGCACTTCGCAGAAGTCGAGAATTCGAATCAGACCGCATACCACGCGAGAGGCAATATGACGCCCTCGCCCGGTCCTCAGATCAACACCACGGAGGTGAGGCGGCCTCGCTCTAGCCAGACCGTCTCCTTCTCTGTCGACGAAGGCAATAATTCCATTCACGGATCCGACTCGACAAGCCTCCAGTTAGCCGTTTCCGAGTGCATAGAAACCACTACTACAACCACTACCACCACCACCAAGCGCACCTTTCCACCCGTCTACCTGCGCGAAGTTCGTCCTCTCCACGAACTCGACTCCAAGGAGTATCCTCTCGCTTCGAAGCCTCTACCCCCCGAACTTGCCAACTTCTCTTTCAGCGTTTCTGGCTCCTCTTCCGATGGCACAGTCGACAACCCTTTTGTTGCCAAAACAGTAAGCCTTCTCACGCCTTCCTACCTCGTGCACCTTTTTCTTTCTTTCTCTCCTCTTTTCCTCGTCGTCGCATTTGCTGACATTGTCTACCCTAGCAGCGCAAAGCACCGATGGCAGCCGAAAGGCAGCCCACAGGCCTCCTGAAAGACGACGAGTCGAGTCAAGAGTCTCCAAGACGCACATCAAAGTCGCCCTCAGATGCCAACCAAAGAAGGTCTCGTCGGTCGAATCCCCGCGAAGCCTCGCCGTCCTACAACGCGTCACCCGTCTTGCCTTCTAGACCCTCCAGGAACCCCAGACCGACTGGACTCTCCATACCCGAGGATGCCTCGCAACGCCTTCGACGCCAACTCACGAGGGGCAGACCATCCGGCTACTTGGCCACTCCAGATACCTCCGAAGTCGCTGGTGCAAGCTCGGAGCGTGTGACGCGACCCCGATCCCTTCACGCTCACCCCTCCAGTCACACTCCTCCAGAGTCGGGACCGAGTCAAACAAACTTGCAGGAAGCGGCCAGTCCCATCGGAAGCGATGCACTCACTGTCTTCAGCAGCAACGTTGCCACTCCGCCCATCACCGACGCTGACCCCGAGCCGTTTGTTGACACCGATGAGTCGCCCCAACAATCTCTCAGAGCCGTTGGCCACAGACCCTCCATCGACGCCGTGGCTGCACAGGATGCGAGCCTACCTAGTCCGAGACTTTCGCCTACGCTGGCAGCCGCTCAACTGAATTCGAGAGACTCCGATGACGAAGATGAAGAGTCACCCCAGAGCAGTGCTGTTGCCCGACGAAATGTCAGCTTCCGCGACCAGGCCTGGTTGCATGAATCACAGACAACCGAGGAGGGCGGTTACGCCTCCGACATGTCTATCGTTGTGGATGACAGCTCCTTCCAAGCGGACGACCTCGACGCCCACACCGCCATGCTTGACACCCGTAACATGATGGAAAGATTCGACGCCATGCCCAATGAGATGAAGAGCTTCTTGATGTACAATCTTCTCCGCCGATGCCCGAGAAAAACACTTCGTCTTGTAGCCGATGTCGTCACCCCTGCTCTGAAGTGCGATTTCTTCAAACAGCTTCCTCTCGAATTGAGCTTCCACGTCTTGTCGTTCCTCGATCACCGCGACTTGTGTCGAGCTGCGCAGGTCTCCAAGCATTGGCGAAATATCGTGGACACGAACGAAACTGGGTGGAAGGAGTTGTTCGATCGCGATGGTTTCACACTGCCCCCCGGCGAACTCGACAAGGCCATTATCCAGGGCTGGGGTTGGCAAGATCCTGTTGGAGTCACTGGGGCCGAGGTTGACTTGCGACCTCTGAGCAGACTGGACTCGGCCGACAACGAACTCACCAAATCCGTTGTCAAGGCCGATTCGACAAGCAGGCTTCGCAGTTCCAAGCGCAAGAGGGCTCTCAACTTATCCAGCGCCGATAGATCGAAGCGCAGAGCTAGCGGCCAGGATGTAGCCCGGCTGGATGCGATACAGTCCGAGGTGAAGCAACACAAGTCCGAGGGACCTCTTTCAGCAGCTAACGCGGCCGCTGCTGCTGTGCCCAATCCAAAGACCAGCATCCCTGGACTTCAAAAGTTGCACCTATTCAAGTCCCTTTACAGACGCCACTACATGATTCGGCAAAGCTGGACGAGTGGCAAGGTCAAGCCTGGACATGTTGCTTTTGCCGCCCACCCCCGCCATGTCATAACATGCCTGCAGTTCGACGAAGACAAAATCATCACCGGTAGCGACGATACCTTGATCCATGTCTATGATACCAACACCGGAAAGCTGCGGAAGAAACTCGAAGGCCACGAAGGCGGTGTCTGGGCCCTACAATACGAAGGCAACATGCTTGTCTCTGGATCTACCGATCGATCCGTCCGTGTCTGGGATATCGAGAAGGGTCTCTGCACACAGGTCTTCTATGGACACACTAGTACCGTTCGATGCCTGCAGATCCTCATGCCTACCGAGAACGGGAAGGGCCACGATGGAAAGCCCATCATGATGCCGCCAAAGCCGCTCATCATCACGGGATCCCGCGACAGTCAGCTTCGCGTCTGGCGCCTGCCTGAGGTCGGCTCTCGGAGGTACATCCAGACGGGCCCTCCAGCCAACGATGCTGACTGCCCCTACTTCATCCGAACGCTCTCTGGACACACACATTCAGTGCGTGCTATTTCTGCACATGGCGATACCCTCGTTAGTGGTAGCTACGACAGCACTGTCCGCGTCTGGCGGATCAGCACTGGCGAGTCTCTGCATGTTCTGCATGGTCACTCCCAGAAGGTCTACAGCGTTGTACTCGATCACGAACGCAACCGTTGTATCTCAGGGTCCATGGACTCTCTGGTCAAGATTTGGGACCTGAACACGGGTGCTTGTCTTCACACCCTAGAAGGCCACAGCTTGCTCGTCGGATTGCTCGACTTGCGCGACGAAAGACTTGTGTCAGCTGCTGCCGACAGCACCCTACGCATCTGGGACCCAGAGAATGGCAAATGCAAGAATGTACTCACAGCTCATACGGGCGCGATCACATGCTTCCAGCATGATGGCCGAAAGGTCATTTCTGGAAGTGAGAAGACGGTTAAAATGTGGGACATTCGCACTGGCGAGTGTGTTCAAGATCTCTTGACCGACCTGAGCGGTGTTTGGCAGGTCAAGTTCGACCAGAGACGTTGTGTAGCAGCTGTTCAGCGAGACAGCTTGACCTATGTCGAGGTGAGTTTGACATCCGGAAGTTTCATCAGACAATTTGCTGACCAACACATAACAGATTCTCGACTTTGGCGCTGTCCGTGATGGCAAACCCCTCTCCGAGCTTGGCGAACGCAAGCTCCTTAACGAGCCAGAAGTCCGCGCTCTTCTGGCCGAAGACTTATAACGACGAAGGAATATCAAGATAGGACAATTGGAGTTTTGACGAACAAGCATATTACGACGGGCAAAACAGCATCCACCAAGGGGAAACCGCATGATGGCATAATGACATTGGCAGGGCGGGGTTGGATGGGCTTCTTCTACCATCACATTCTCGGCGTTTTTGATGGCCACAGGCGGGGCTTGAAAACAAAAAAGGCGGGCGTTTGCATGATTTCTGGGCCGCGCAGAGCGCATATACCACTTCACTGTATGGGATAATGTAGATATCAGGCAAAAGCCGCACGAAATGAAACGGTTCATGGTACATCAATCATCACACAGTGGTTCGCATCTTTTTCTCGCAGTAGACACTTTGCATATTGTGATTGTGAGCTCTTTCAATGCCGACAACTGTGAAGGACTCTGTGGCTTGTGCCTTGGTCCCCCCTTTTCTGTGCACATTGTTCTCTCCACCATCGCTCATTACAAAGACTAAAGAAAGACATTCATTCTTGTCCTCTTGTGTGAATTCCCGCAGAAGAGGAGCATCAAGTAACGAAAACAAACGCTAAAGTACGGACTACGCTTACGGTACCGCTGGGATATCTCGATAGAAGAGAAGCATCAGATGCTATGGCTGGCCACTCAATCTAGACCACCTCCGATTGAATGGTCCCCTTTGGAAGGGGCTCCCCAATCTCGTTGGTGTCCGCCCTGAGTCGTCGCGCTGCTCCCGCTCCCTCTGCGGTTGCTTGACGTCTCCCTCCAGCCCAAACCCGTACGTCTCGACGCCTCCCACGTGCGGATCCTTGGGTACGAGACCGTAGCCGACCTTGGCGCCGGCAACGGGTCGATGATCGCTGTTCGGCGTCGTCGCCCAGGGGAGTTTCTCGAGGCCCGGGCCGCGGGTCGCCGCGACGATACTGCTGAAGCGCGTATTGCGGACGAGGCCCTCTTCGCGGACGGCGGCAAGACCAAAGGCCACGCCAACGATGGCGAGGAGGATAGCGACGGAGTAGACAGCCCAGAGGTCTCGGGCGTGGTACTTGTAGCGGAGGTCGGTCCGCTCGCGGGTGCAGGGGTAAGTATGATTGTCGCCGAGGCGGGTGCCCGTCTTCTCGCTCGTGTCATTAGCCCAAACGACGGCGAGGAGGCGTGGCTGGGAGAACATGGAGATGAGGATGTCTTCGTAGAGGCTCTGGACCTGGAACATGAAGTCCTTGACGACGAGGTAGTTGTGTTGGTCGAGGATGCGCGTTTGCAGAATTTTGGTATTAGCGTCGGTGTTGGGTTGGAAGATTGTCCCGTTGATGTATTGGCGGAACTGGTATCCGATGGAGTGGTATGCCATCGTTCTACGGTAGCGCGCCACGTCTTGCGGGAAGATGTAGTTGGATTCCGGGGTGCCTGTAGTGTTGTCCGCTGTTCCGTCTTGGGCGTCGACGCCGGGGAGGTAGCGGGTATCGACAATGCGGTCGAAGAACGTTCGCTTCCGGACAGTGGTCTTTTGAGTGAGACCCGTGTAGTTGAAGTCGACCTCGTATTCCGTCTCACGATGTTCGCAGCCAAACACCTTTGGGGTGTAGGCCGTTTTCCATGCGGGCAAGGCAGGGTTCATCGGCTGGGGATCGGATGGCTCGTCGACCTCAGCGATGCCGAACCAGAGCACCGGCTCCACGCGGAGCGCGCCGAGGTTTTGTGGATATGGGGGTGGCGTGTTGATGACACCTGCAGGGCCAGTGTCATTCATTTGAGGATTCTGGTACTCGCCAGCGGTGGCGTGAGCAATGTATGTATGATTGCCTACTGGGGCAAGCATGCTCATGTTGAAGGGCACTTCGGCGCCGTTGAGCTTCTTCGGTGTCGACCCGACGCCGCTGGCAAGCTCTTCGCACTTGTATCCGGGGCCCTTGAACTGAATGCTGAATGAACAGTTCCAGCCCATGCCACAAACATCAAGGCTGGCATTCGTCCGCGAGAGCGGCTTCTTGCCCAGAATGGCTGAAGTAGAAATCTCCTCGAATTGCCAACTCGTTCCGATCCAATAGTCAAAGAAATCTTCGCTGGACTGATTCAAGGTAGTTGTGTTCCATAGAGACGTGGAAAGCTCAAAGAGATTGTTGATCTTCGTCCCTGTACGGAAATCGTTGGTTTCTTCCTGTGCAAAGTTGAGAGTGCGGATGGATGGGCACGTCGTGGTTTGGCGTGTCGTCGCAGGTTGAGCTGTCAGAGTGTCTGAGGTGAGAACCACGACGAGAGGGGTACACCACACATAGATGGCCAAGATCATGGCGATCCTAGCTTGGCGGAAGACTTCAATGTTGAAGATGGCAGTCATGTCCTCGGCCGCGGCAAAGAGCGAATCCACGGCAGCGAGGGTGAGCATCTTTCGACGGACTGTCATCCATACTCTTTGTCGGAAGGCTAGGATCACAGCCGATCCAAGACTTGCTTTGCTGAGGAAAGACAAGGCGGCGCCGTAGCGAAGCATACGAATCTGGCCATTGGCCTCTGTTCCGTCAAGGCCAGCATAGAAGAAATGGTGGCCGAGGGCAAATGCAATCCCGGCGAAGAGGAAAAAATACATGTTCCATGACGGGTGCCAGTACTTATTGAAAAGCCGGATTTGCTCCGGGGGATAGTACATCGATTGAGGTCGGTTAGGCGGAGGACCATGCCACGGCGGTGAAAGTAGACCAGTCGCCGAGGACTGAGAATCGACTCGAGCGCTTCTGTGTCGTTTCGGTGGAAGCCCTCCAGTAGAAAGTCCGCCGGTATAAGGGGTGCTCAGGCTGGAGTAAGAGGCAGAATAGTTCGAATACTCGTGCGCGTCCATTTGCAATGGCGCCGGCCTCGGTCGCTGGGAAGACGCACTGCTTCCGCTCGCCGGTGCCGGGAAGTACGCTGCGGCGCCAGCAGCTCGTTCGGAAAAGGATGGCTGTGGTGATTTGGCGGAAGGCGTCGGCGGGCTTCTTCCGAAAGGCCCGTACGGGCTGCCGATGGGTGCCGGCGTTGTCGGCGTCTGTGGCCCGTTGATCGGCTTTCGAGCAAATTGGCGATTAGGATGCCACTCAGCCGACGGCGTCATCTGAATATCATTTTGATCTTGAAGGGCGCTTTCTCGCAGGCCGAGTCCTTCGTCGCCGGGTTTGCCCTCCATCATGGCTGGTCAACCCAGGCAGATGAGGCCCAGGGATAGAAGATGGTGTTGATGGTGGCTTGAGGGGATGCAACAGCCATATAGTGACGTTAATCGGCGTCGGACAAGGCCTTGGCTATTGGGTGGTCGTCTTAGGCACATTAGACGATTGGAAATTCCAACGAGGTCAATTTGAAAGACCGCAGAAGTTGGGTACTCTGAATCTCAACAATTTGTTGCGTTGGATGGCTGAGTTGTGTGGATTGCCATTCGAAGTGTTCTGGGCAAGCGACATTCAAGGAGGAGGGAGGGCGCCGCTGCTAAAGAACAAAATCTCTGAAGAACAATAGAGTGACAGGGGGAATAGGAATTGAGGGAAAGCAATAAAAGAAAGACAACTGATAAGACAGCTTGCATGTTGTCTCGTAAGGCTTGGGGAAACACAGCTACCAACACTTGCTGGAGGTGATGGGTGCATGTGGCTCCTCCCGCTCTCCATCTCCGGACGTACGAATAACGAACAAGGGGAGGGGCGATGCGACCTGCGTCGAGCTGCACTTGACTTTACGAATACCTTGCCCGGTCGCTTCTTCGGGGCTGGCCACTGCAGCCAAGTTGGCTCAGCTCGAGGTGATGGCGCAGGACTGGCGTTCCCGATCAACATTGGGGGTTACTGCTGTGCGTGATTGGTGATGGCTGCATGTGGCGGCCGGGATATGCCTCGAGAGAAACCCGGGAGCCTTGTTGGTCCCTTCAAGTTCTGACAGCTGGGCCCGGCCATATGCTGATGCCTTTGATCGCACTCGCAACCACGAATGGCTTTATTTGATGAGGTGGGACGAGGTGCTCTGTCATCATCTAGACGCAGATGGGGTTGCATTCCCTTTCTCATCGGGAGGATTCAAAGAGTTTCCATAGGTGACACCGCCTCGTGGGACCGAAGAGGATGAGAGTGAGATGAGAGATGGGACGTAAGTTGTGGTAGTTCCAACGCACCCTGCAGGGTTGATGATGAGGTGAGATGACGGAGAATTAGAGTTTGGGGGCTGTGACTGAGTCTGCGTCGTTTCCCACACCAACGGACACGGAGCTATTGAAGGATGCCTCCTGGTGGAGAGTATCAAGCGAGATAGGATGCACTCGAATTCAAAGGCCGAGGATTTCAGACATTGTGAAAAAGTCTCGATGTCCATGGACTAAAGGTAGTCATCTAATCATGAAGCAAGATGACTTGCCAACTTCCATGTCCCGGCCACCCAAGTATACGGTTCATGTTAACCTTGTGAATAGGCTATAGCCAGATGCAGCATGGGAAGAAGCAAAGGCCCGTCCGCCGCCGGGGTTGGGTGAAGAACGAATTGAGGAAATCGGCGCAAAGTGGGCAACAACGGCTGAGCGATGTGAGAATCCCGAGAATTGTGCGCCGTCGCTGCGATACCCAAGTGCTTTCACTTGGCCAAGGGGACTGACAAACATAAAGCTGACATGCATCTCCAACAGGCCATCTCGTACCCGGAAGAGGCCGGTGTCTTTTTTACCTTTTCTGGTCCTCTAACTCAGGTGCCGCCATTCGCTGGTGAGCTTTGCGCCGCTCAGCTGACGAACAAACTTGCTTTCGACCGTCTGACATTGCTTCCCGATCTCGTCCATCTCCGGTTCAGCCCTACGCCTCTTCGCTGCTCCCGGTACAACTGCATTAACGTCAAAAGTATGCCATGCCTCCCCCACTAGGCTAGCGGGAGACCAGATAGGTTGAGCTTCTTCAATTTGCTGAGCGACAATTACCTTCAGCCTTTGGCATCGTTCGCTTTTCACGACGCCGTCCCCCGCACCTAGCCCTCCGATTACGATGGAAATTTGAGTATAGAAAATATGTTTCTTGT